AATAATAACTTCGAGCACTCATTAAACCCTTACTATTTGTTAGGCACCGTGCTGCATGTTTCTATTCAAGCAGAGACTAGTTATCTTGTAAGAATATTTTAGAAATGACTTTTTCATTTCACCCTAAGGTAGAAATTACCTTAGGGTGCCTTAAGGTTCTGAATTCCAAAGGAGAATGGAAGTGGGGAAACAGCCAGTGACAAGATGTCTGGCCTGAGGCTTTTTAAGATGATCAGAACTTGTATCAAAAAGGGAACCGAACATGAGTGATAGGCATTAAAGGAATTCAGTTAAGAAGACTTGTCAGAACACGGTAATGAATTACATATAACTCAGAGGGATTAACTAAAAGTGACTTCACATTGTGAGTGGAATCCTTAGAAAATTGGAGGAATTAAAGTTTCATGAGAAAATTATCTTTTTCTCAAATGTTTAGTTGCAAATATTGCCAGGGCATGCCAGGGTAGGTGGAAACCAAACATGGGGCTGGAGTGGTGCATCTTGAAGTCAGTCACACTTAGGTAGTTGTTTAAAGCCAGCTGAGAACACTTATAATAACAAATGCACATGAGAGAAAAGAGCAGTGAGGCCTAGTCTTGAACATTAAGGCAGCCATAATTACTAGGGAAGAAGTAGAAAAGGAGTTAGGGGTCTACATGATGCCTATACCAGGCTTTGATACCGACAGAGGGAGGCACAGGAGCCAAGGGAAGGAAAATTAAAATGTTGCACAGAGTCCTTAGCATCCTCCGAAGGAGAGAGAACTTCTTAGGATGGAGTCTCAGCCGAGGCTATTGAATCTGAAAAGGGAAAGGCATTGCTCTTTGAAAAGTTTCTAGGTAATAATTAGAGTGAAAGTTGCATTAGGAGGAAGCAAGTAAGGAGGTAGAAAAGAAAGAGAAATATCTGTGAAAGAAGCTTGGTTGCAAAGGAAGAGGAATTTTGAAAGGGAAGTGGGACTTAGTGAAAAGGTAGGTTAAAAGAGACCTATGTATGTTTTATGGTAAAAATAAAGAAATAGGCAGATGTCTATCCTCTGGAACATTTCAAATAAGAAACCAAGTAGGTCTCATTTCACACAAAGAAAATATTTGGGCCTAAGTGTTGGCTCCTGCCTGTAATCCCATCTACACAGGAGGTGGAGATGGAAAAATAATGGTTTGAGGCCAACCTGGGCAAAAAGTTAGTGAGATTCCGCCATCTCAAACAAAGATCTCAGGCATGGTGGTGTGTGCTTGTAGTCCTAGTCAGAGGTAGGAAGATCAGAGTGCCATTCTAATCCCAGGCAAAAGTGTGAGACCCTTTCTGAAAAATAAGTGAAAAGGGCTGGAGGTGTGGCTCAGGTGGTAGAGTGTTTGCCTAGGAAGACCTTGAGTTTGAACCCTAATACCTATAAATAAATAAATAAAAAGATATCCATGGGCTTTAGTTTAGAAGTCTGTTTACACATCCACGTTTTGTCTCAGAATAAAACCCTCAGCCCTTCTTCACAGTGGCCTAAAGGCCACATCTGGTTCTCATCCCCAGTTTGTCTGTTTTCCGCTACTTGTTTTACTCCTTTGGGCAGAGCAGCAGAGGTCTCCAGGTCTGTCTGCTGTTCCTCAAGCAGGCCGGCACTGTTCCCTGTCTTGGACTTTTGCATTCTGTGTTCCCTCTGCCTTGAACGCTTTTCCTAGTCTTCTGTGTGGCGTGTCTCATTCAGGTCTGACCTTGCCTGCTCGCTGAGCCCTTCTCTGACTTTCCTGTTGAAAACCCACTGTGTGCTCCTCTTTCCAACTCCTGTCCCTTCTTGTTTTATTTTTCTTCATAGCATTTACTCCATCTAACATTGAACCTTTTCCTTGTTTTGTTTTTGTCTTTGCCTGCTAGAATTTAAATCTTTTGAGTGTGAGGCTTTTCTTAGTGTAGTCACCTCTCAGTATCTATGGGCCTCCATAGACACTGAAATCTGGATGTTCATGTTCCTTTATGTACAGTGGCATAGCATCATATAACCTGTACACATCCTCCCCTATACTTTAGATTGCTCACATCGCCAATATGACGTTATTGCAGTTCAAATAGTTGTTATACCATGTATTTAGGGAATGACAAGTCTGAACGGGTTCAGTACACACACTTTTTTTTCCTAGATACTCTTAATCCATGGTTGGTTGAATCCATATATGTGGAACCCATCGTACAGTAGAGGGTTGACTACTAGAAAATGTCTGGCACTTTTACTAAATGTATTTTGTAACAATGGATGGATATTATGAGTTTCATGTTCTTTGTGCAAGCTATTCTTCATCATCATTAACGTCATTAATAAGCATATTGGATGTTATTAATAGGCTTCATATATTCTTTCCTCTTCTGTGAAGTGCCAGAGTGAGTATTTTTGTGGCTATGAGGTCTCATTGCAAGAAGTCCTTTCTGTTGTAGGCCAAAGCAGACAAGGGCCATCTGTAAATGAGTGAGCCTGACTGTGTTTCAGTAGGACTATTTATGGACATGGAAATTTAAATTTTTACATAATTTTCAAATGTCACAAAAATATTATGCTTTTGATTTTTTCAACCATTTAAAAGTAAAAACATTCATAGTTTACAGACCAATCAAATATTGGCAGTGGGCCAAATTAGAACTGCAAGCTCTTCTTTGCCAGTCTGTACATTCACTGGTTTCTTATGCATGTCTTAGTTGAAATTTATTTTCCCATACTTGGTAGGGAGCAACAATGTGGGTTAAACTTTAGAAACAGATAATTGAGAAATACTTGGGTTTTGTTCCAAAAGCTTTCATGTTGTTCCATTCCTGTTTTCCTGGGAGCTGTATGTTTTCATTGTGTGCTTGTGATGCTAACATTTAAATGAGTTTGCATTCTCTCAGCAGATGACACATGGTAGTAGTGGGGGCGGTGTTACAGTTTAGGAGCAAAGCTGGGAAGAGCCCACCCAGAATTAGAAGTTTGCCATTATTTACAAGGTGAATAATTCCATCTGGGAGAATCAAGAGTCCTCAGCCAAGCCTAATGCCCAAAGGACTGTCACTATGGATAAGAATTGTGTTGCATTTTTAACATCATCGTAACACATTTCTTGAATTCACTGCACGTGCTTTTAATAATCCAATTCAGGGTTAATTTTAGCCATGCCCATTGGTGCTCTTTGCTCCTCTACTTAAGAAAAAAAGAAAAAAGAATCCTTTTGCATTCTATTATCAAATCAAGCTGTGATTTGGATAAGGCATCATATTTTCCTCAGTAAGCACAAAGAAGAAAGAAAAATATTTTTCATTTGCAAAGCCTTTTCATGCTTGTAAGGTTTTCACATGCTTGATTTTGTTCTCACAGCAATCCCGTGATGTGTAGGTAGCCTTCTTAACCATTTAAGATGTGAGACAGTTGATAGTCAGGGAGGATAGGTAGTTTGCCCAACCCAAGGTCACAGCACCAGGACTCCTGACAAGCCTTTCTGACCTTCTGAGGTGCAGAGTCCTCACCATCATATTCAGTAGTTGTTGCTTTCAGTGCTGTTGACTCTGTCATGGCCGCTTCATCAATAGCTTGATGTATTCGTGAAAAAGCTCAGAGTCCTGTCTTCCCCTCCTCTGCCACATTACTGTTTGCAGCTCTGGGAAGGGGTGAGGAAGCTGTGGGAGTTACAACACTGCTGCCATGTCTGTTTACTAGCTCTGTCCTTCTCCACCCCCACCAGTCATTTTAGCCACTGTGCAGTTCTTCTGAGTATGTTCTGTCTTAGTTCCCTAACAGCTTGCTTTTCCTGATAACTTTGACCCTTGAAGACCTCACTTGGCCAGCCAATTGCTAACAAAATAAAAATGTCTTGGGTATGATTGGCAAAGGCAGGAATGAGTCCATCACAACCCTATTGCTTCAGGTCTGGGCAATTAGGAAAATCAACATACTGGTGACTGTGCATAGAAAGATGTGGCAGGAGCTAGCTGGCTTGAGTTAATAATGGAACAGGCTTCTGGGTTCATGTTTTTATCCTTCAAAAGGTGAAATGGATAAATAGGTTGAACCAAATAGCGTGGGCTCCAAACAAACAAACAAAAAAATTTATGGCTAGAGCCAAATTCTCTGTTCCTTTTAAATACTTCCTAATGGCCCCACTTAAACAACCTCCCCATTACGAAAATGGAGACTTCCCATGCCTTTTTGATGCTATTTAGAAAAAATTGTCATGAACATTACAATTTGGAGTGACTGTGTATTGTATGAATTAAGAGGTGGCATGTAAAAAGACTTCTCAACTCTTCAGAATGGAAAATGATATAGAATGTTATTCTTCAATTATTTCCCTCCTACACTTTGGTATTTATATGGTACCTTAAATATTTTATGTTCTCTCCATTGTATCTTATGCCTTTTTACTTGCTTAATAAAGAAGCTGCCACTTAATATATTAAAATGCCCATTTGAACCTTCCCCACTGCTGCAACTCCTTCCCCTTTCTCTGTTGCAGTCTCAGCCACATGAATATAACCCAGAAAGTCATGTACAGACCAACTGACGTTTCAGTGGAAACAAAAAAATAACTTGCCATTTCTGAATACTTAATTGAGGAAAAGCACATGATGCCTTATATCTTAAATTGGAGGATTAAGAGGGTGAAGTCCCTACGTTATCATGTGAACATCTTAATCCTATCAAATGACTTGGTCAAATGAGAGAGTTAACCAACTTAAGCAGACTATTTGAACAGTGCTCTACAGAAAGATGCTGTTACACCACCCCAGCCTGTACCTACATGAACAAAGCTAGGGTGTATTTTGCCCTTGAGTGTGGGCCATGCTGACTGGTTGTGGAACACACTGCCAAGACCCAGAAGGACTGGGGAGTGTGTGGTAAGGTTCTCCAGGCACTTTCTACAGTGAGGCAGCTTTGTGGTTACACATTTAGATCTCTTCATTCACAGTTTAGTGTTTTCTTGAATGCACTGCATTGTTTCACTGTACAAGAAGTCAGGTGTTTCCTTTCTGCCCCTCCCAAATAGATGTCCAGAGGGCTTCTTGGGAGAATATTGTCAACATCGAGACCCGTGTGAGAAGAATCGCTGCCAGAATGGTGGGACCTGTGTGGCCCAGGCCATGTTGGGAAAAGCCACCTGCCGATGTGCTCCAGGGTTCACGGGGGAGGAATGCCAGTACTCAACCTCTCACCCCTGCTTTGCGTCTCGCCCCTGCCTGAATGGAGGCACCTGTCATATGCTCAGCTGGGATACGTATGAATGCACCTGCCAAGTCGGCTTTACAGGTAACAAATGGGACCCGTGCTCATACTTTCCTACTCTTGGCAGACACCTTTATTTTGCATCTTTATATCTTGATGTCTGGCTCCTAAGTGTCCCCATCAGACACTCTCCTTACCTTCCCTTTGAGAGTTTTAAGGGCCACAGAAGGAGAAAGAAAAAAGGTTAAGGACCTAGAAGCATTTGGCTGTTTAAAGTATATATGTCAGGGCTGAGATGTAGCTTGGTGGTACAGCACTTGCCTAGCATGCGCGAGGCCCTGGGTTCGATCCCAGCACCAAAAAAAGAAAAGACAAAAAAAAAAAAAGTACATATGTCAGGATTGGGGATCAGAATTAATTCACTAAAGGAAGTATGCTGTCACCAGAAGAAAGTCTGTTGGTGCTGTGGAGTATTCACTTAAAATCTCCTCTCTCTAGACATTCAGAGTAATGGCTTCTCTGGCGTTCTGAGCTCTGTTCCTTTTGTTCTGCATTGCCTTATTCTTATCCGTTAACTTTTTGTCTCCTGGAACACTGTTTTGAACCTTATCACAGCTCTCCCTGGGGAATCTTCTTACCTTCATTTGCTTCAACTGTCATTGTCTTTTTCAGTTGCTGATGACTCTCAGTTATCCCCTTAGCTGCACCCCAACCTGCCCATTCACATTCATATTTCTGACTACCTATTGCCTATTCTTCTAGAAATTCTATAGGTACCTTAAGCTCAGCATGTTGATGTAAATAAGTGACACCAATGTACACTTCTCCCTCATCCTACCCTCTTAAAAGTCAGTCATCCAGCCCAGCCTCTGAGTTACTCCTCACCCATTTGCTTCTTTCCATTTTCTTTGCTACTCTGTAATTGAGGGCCATGGTATTGCTCATCTGAACTCCTCAAGCAATTCCTTAATTGATTTTTGTTTTTTCTACCTTTATTCTCTCTCCATCTCATTCATCCATCATATTGCTATACCTTCTATTTTAAATGTAAATGGTCTAGTGAGTTCACCTGCTTTTAAGGCCTTGTGACCTTTCATCATTTATAGAATAGTCCATGAACTCTTCTACTTGATTTCCATGGCCCATTACAGTCCCAAAAGGATCTAGGTCATGTCATACCCAACTTCTCATCGTGTCCTGAAAATGTCATACTTCTCTTGCACCCATGCAGTTGCATTCCTCTTTTCCTGGAATGTTCTTTTCTACAAATGGTGATTCCCCAGTGTTTTTAAAAACTGTGACCCTTTCATGATTCCTCTAGGCAGTTGGTCACAAAATTTTATTATTCTTATGTCACATCTTATTGTAATTAATTTTTTTTGTTTCTCACCTGAGTAAATTTTGGGTTCTTCGGAGGTGGGACTGAACTTTATTCAAAGGGAACTATTGGTGTTTATTAAATCAGGCCTCTGCCTTAAGCACTAAATCCACAGTTCTCTAAATCAATAAGCAAAAAATAAAAAACACTCTTAGAAAACTGAGCTGGGTACGTGAGTTTGGAATACTTGTTTTATTAATGTTTTATCAAAAGGTATTTGTGGGTCAGAATGTAATTAGAGTGAAGCGCTGTCTCCCTCATGACCATGGCAGCCGTGGATGATGTGAGTCAGCAGTGGTTATGAGAGTCATTTCTTCCTGACTCTCAGTTTTTAGTTGGCTTGCTTCCATAAGGCAAAGGGGCGGCACACCTGTTTACAACATTTTGATCCTGATAGTGGAAATAGCAATAATGCCTTCGTCAAAATTAAAATGTCACTCTGAAATGGTCCCACAATTAAAATTTCTTTCTTTGCCATTGAAAGGATCTCTTGGTATTCTGTAGGGTTCTGATCATCTTTACGTATTGCCACTTCTGTCTATTCCTTTAGGAATCGCCACGGCCAAGTTCATCCTTTTGATTTTGTTAACCCCTTTACCTACCTAGTCAGACCTTGTTAGCAAAGACAGCAGTTAGTGGCTATAAACGTGTGGGAGGGGCCTGTTTCAGTTGTGGGCAAGCACCCTCATATCCACAGCTGCCAAAAGTAAGCGTTTTGCACCCCTTTTCCACTGTAAGCTTCTCTAGTCCCTCTCTGCTCAGTACCCTTGCATATGTGTGCTGTGCTCAGATTTGTATTACACCTTTCCCTTCAGATTTGCCATTTCTCAATGAGCAGAGAGCATTTCCATTGTACTTTTCTTATTTGTTACTCTGTGGGGTCAAAGATTTGGACAACCAATTGGAATATTAACACATTCAGGGATTTTTCACCTCTGGTTTAAAAAATAGAAGACTTAGATTAGAGGCTGGGCATGGTGGTGCCTGCCTATAATCCCAGTACTCAGGAAGCTGAGGTAAGAGGATCTCAAGGTCAAGGCCAGCCTGAGCTGCATAGCAGTAAGATCTTGTCTCAAAACAAAACAAAGCAAAGACAGGCTAATGAAAAAAAGGCACATAAATACCAAATTTACCAGAAGCCTGGACATATTTCTCTCTGTGTCTCTCTTTCCTTCTCTCTTTTTCTCTCTCCCTCAAAGAATCTGCTCTGCTTTCCATGGACTCGTGCATTAGGCTTTAGCATGACAGAGTCTTCCTGCTCCTGCTGGTGTCTTTCTTGGGAAAACCCACACTTCTGTTTCTTTTAATATACAGGGAGCACTGTCTCCCAACACATCAAACAGCATTTATAGCAAGACAGTGATTATTAACACAGTATTCCCCAGAAAATATGTAGGTGTATTGTGTTAAAAGGAAGTAGACTTGTTAGGAAATAGTAATGACTTGTTTATGTCACCTAAGAGGTCTATTTAGTAACTACATATTGTGCAAAATAGCAGTATATTTTATTCATTCAATAGATATGGCTTGATACCTACCATTGGGACTCAGCCCCTGTTTGTAATGGCAGCTGGTAATAGGAGAAGACAGCACACTTGGAGTGGGTGTGGGACATCAGAGATGGCTTTATAGAGGTGGTGACTGTTGAGCACAATTGTCAAGACAAGGCAGACTCCACTGTCCCTTATTCAGAGGTGGCACTTGCAGTGGAGGAGCAGTGTGCCATAGGGACCGATGGACTCCTGTGGGGCTGGGCCTCATGTACCAACCTACAGACCCCTTGTGTGCTCCATCTACTGAGTCTTTGAGTCTCATTGATGGGCCTCAGAGAGTTTCTGGGGAGTACCATGTATCAGAGGCTCTTTAGAACCTCTGATTTGTCCTGTAAATCAAAGAGCTTACAGATCTTGGTGCAAGAGCTCCTGCTGTCCCTGTTGAGTAGGAGGTGAGCTGCTGAGGGTACGGCTGGGTTTTGTTTCTGTGAGCAGTACTGAGTCTGTTGTCCTTTTTGTAGGGAAGCTGTGCCAGTGGACTGACGCCTGCCTGTCTCACCCCTGTGCAAATGGAAGTACCTGTACCACTGTGGCTAACCAGTTCTCCTGCAGGTGCCTTGCGGGCTTCACAGGACAGAAATGCGAGACCGATGTCAATGAGTGTGACATTCCAGGACACTGCCAGCATGGGGGCACCTGCCTCAACTTGCCCGGTTCCTATCAGTGCCAGTGCCCCCAGGGCTTCACAGGCCAACACTGTGACAGCCCCTATGTGCCTTGTGCACCCTCTCCCTGTGTCAACGGAGGCACCTGCCGCCAGACTGGTGACTTCACTTTTGAGTGCAACTGCCTTCCAGGTGAGGAGTTCTAAATGTCCTGGGACTGGGGGACAAACCAATCACAGGAAGAAGGTGGAAGGTGGCAAGCAGTTCAGTTCCTTTAGGAAGTATCTTAATGCAGGGAAAAGAGGAAGTGAGAATTTCAAGTGGGGTGGATTGTTGGTGAGGGAGGGGTTTTATGGGCCCACTGCAGTCCATAAACAGGGCAGGGGGTTATTTAACATGTCAGGGTTTATGGTGATGAGTGCCAAGGAAATTGCTTATTATGCCTTCTAGAGAAACAGTGAGGAATAAGAGAAACAGAACTCTGGGAAAGGGACAGGCAAATCTAGAATGGAGAAGAACACTGTGAGAACTGGACATTGGAAAATATGTATGTGTGATTAGTAAAGTGCTTTAGCCTGAATTGACACTAAGACTGGGTGATCAGCTTTCCCATACGCTGTGCCTCTGATGGAGTAGTTCATTGTATTTGTATCTGCTCAAATGTGTGCCCACTGCCCACCCTTTTGCAATATTTTGCCTGGATTCTGGCCTGCAGAACCCTTTCTTATGTCCTCTCCCTGACTTCAGAGTGACCCTTCCCTGTATTGAAGGTGGAGAACTTTGAAACTGGGAAGAGGACTCTCTGTTAATTATGAGCACTTTTTGATGAGCTCTGATAGACAAGGTATGGGAGACCAAGCATGACACCACTACCCTTTGTCACACTCCTGGCTGGTACATGTTCCTTGGAACACACACAAACAAGACAGAAAGAAGTACAGAAGGGCAGTGTCTGAAGCTCAGCTCCTGTTGCTCCTTAGAGGAGGGAAGGAGCCAGTCTGACCAATTCACTTTACTTCTTATAAAAGTGATGAGGAGGCTGAAAACCAAGAATTTTGATTGGGAACAGAACACAAGCAGCTGGAGCAGATGAATTACTAAGCAACAAAGATCCTGTTTTTATACAAATATCCTTAGTACAAAAACAAAAGAAGGAAAACCAAGGGAAGGGGGGGATGTGTAGTAGTGTGTTAAATAAGCAGAATTGTCTCTAAAAGAAGTAGTTGTGACTACTCTTTCTGAATGAGAATCTTAGATTTGATCTCGTGGATATGGTTCACATAGAATGAGGTTTGTATGTTTTATCTTTTGGCAATTAAAAGATAATAGGTTGGTCCTGGGTATAAAACCAAGTGGTAATTTATTCATTTCATCTGGTTAAAAATTTAATTGACTGTCTGCAGTGTTCTAGATACCATGTTATGTGCCTGGGATCCAGTCATATAAGTTATGGTCGATAATCTAAATGAAAACTTTGTGTGATTTAACCTGCTATTTAATTGTATAGCTTCTACTTTCTCATTCAATAAAGATAGATAATGCTATCATTCTGGATACTAAATAAATATTTATTAACATCATATTACTATGATCCACATTATCTAGTAGAAAAGAAAACTAAAGACATCTTTTTTGCACCTATATTTGTTTGCATTTTAAAGACTTAAGACTGAAATAGAAATATAAACAATTTAATTTTGTAAATATTTTAATATTGTAAACATTCTAAAGGTCTAATGTCATAATGGTTTAAGTGGGTGGTAATTGAAGTTAGTGTGATTTATGGTTGAAGGTTATATTGCTGTTTTCAGTTTTAAGAAAATTATTTTTAATAGTTGGCTAAGGTCAGGAGGTTGATTTGGCAGCAAGATATCGACGGGAAGTTAGAGGCCAATAAAGGAAGTCTTTAACTGGGAGAGAGTGGTTATTCACTGCCATTGTCTCTGCATTGTTATCCGTTAGGCATGATAAGAACCTCAGGGAATTCTGAGAGTGTGTTCAAGAAAAGATCTGTCAAAGGAGCATAGTATCTCCTCCTTGGGAAAGGAAATAACCAGGGACTCCAAAGTAAGATGTTGCCAGGGCGAGAGGGATGAAGTCAAGGCAATGGAACTGTCTCTA